CATGCTGTCTCGCAGCTGTCTTATATTCGTGTATTTGCGACCCAAGCATGCGTCCAGTCTGTCCTATATGGGCATGACGACAGTTGAAGCACGGAATGGGATACACTATCCGATTGCTAATTAGAACTTAATCGGCCGTTGATTTTCATGACGGACCTGCGCATGGTAGGTTTGGGCGGGTGTGCAATGCCAACAACTAGCCTCGCAGCAGTGCGCTCGATCGTCCCTGGCAGCGCACGCCATCCCGCGGGTGCTGTTTCCGGTTGGGTCTTCAGGGGGAGGATGGGGTAGGTAATCATGTAGACATCGCTTTCTACTAGCTTTTGCGCATAATTACGGAGATTTCAGGCCTCGTGGGTAGCTGCAAGGAGTCTGCATTCGTTTGTGAGCTTTTAGTGCTTGAAAAACCTACTTTTACCTGATTTATAAATACGCCTGAAATGCAAACCTTAGGCTCACTAACACTTTGTTACGACTCCTAAAAGTAAATCCCGTCCGAAAAAAATTGGAGCGGTATGCAGATGTGTGCACCTCAATCCTGCCTATTCACTGTAGCCTGGTTGCGTCCTCCGTTTGCGTCCCCTGCAATCTCTAGAATAGGGACTAATCAAATCATTACGGTGTACGATAATCTTTTTCTGTACGTTTGACTATTGAAGGCGAAAGTGTTTCTTAACTTTCTTCTTCTGTGGCTTCGGGCTCTTGCGGGCGTCCATTGTTAGAATAAAATTACGATTCCGGTGATCGAAACGCCTTCATTTTTTATACAACTACCTGGGATGCAAACCTTTGTCTCAATCCGTTTGACTGTTGTCATGGCATCTCAGCGGAACACCCAGTGATAATTAAAGTAAAACCACCGTGTGCGTCAAAAGAATAGTAATGTGGGAAATATCGACCGATTCGCACAGCTCATTGGCATGCTTGAGACAGTGTTTCCAGCGCTAGTTTTATTGCAGCGCATTTTAATAGCTTCTCACAGTACGCATTGTTAGCTAAGCGGAATATCCCGCTTTTTTCCTCCCCTCGTCGACAGCTTTCTTTTCTTTCTTCTCGCCCTGGCTCGTCATTCGCAAAAGTATTTTGCTCTCCGCACAGGTGTTAAATCATGCGCGTCGGGAGAAATAAACTCTTGGACGACTTATATGTTCACTGACCGCAAACTCGCCATTAAGACATCTTCGCCAACCTCGTCTAAGCAGTTGCGGCTGCGTAACTAAAGACTTGTATGGCGCAGTGCGCTTCTTAGGCTGCTTCCCACAGGCAGCCTGTGGAATGTTATTGAATGGGATTCCTCTCTCCCCTGTCCCTTTACCATTTTTCTGCGGTTGAATTTGTTAGATGGGTCAACTACCAACCGTTAAATGCTCCCCTCCGCGGCACCTGGTTACTGCCAGTGAAGTTGCCCATTCCCTGGGTAAGCCCGCTTTCCCCCCTCGCCCCCCTCTAATCGGCAGTTTTCTTCAGAACAAGTCCCAACACATTCCGCCGCAACTCAGGTAGGTTCTTGTTATCGTCCCTGCCCTAACGCTTGCGCTCTAGATTTACGGAGACTGATCTGCTCGATGCCTGTCGGTTTTTCGGATCCCAGCTGGCGTGTGTCATTGACCTCACCTACACAAACTACTATGATCCGGCGGTAGGTGCACAGCATTGCCTACTCACTTTGGTTATAGATTTTTCGACAGCATGGTGTTATGTACAAAAAGATTTTCGTCGAGGGTCATGTTGTACCACGGGACTCCGTCGTCGCAGAGTAAAACTGAACCCTTCTTCTTATCCTTATCTCGTCTCTCTATGTAGGTTCAATAAAGTGATTGACGAGGTCAGTGAAAAGTCCCCAAGTGAGTTTTTTTTCATTTTCTTTGATTCTATGCTGAAGGCCAAACTTTTGAACTTCTCGCTTCCTTTTTTTATCCACTCCTCTTAAGGCGGAATTATCGCCGTTCACTGTACACATGGAATCAACCGAACTGGCTACCTCATTTGTCGCTACCTTATTGACCAACTTGACTGGGCTCCCGAGGACGCGGTCAAAGGTGCGTTAATAGGCTGATTTTTTGGTCCGTCCGGCGGCTAAAATGCTACCAGAGTCATTGCTAAAAGAGGAATAAAATGAGGCGAGCGTTTTGACGGTAAGTCAAACAAAATCCGGTCTGTGGCTACCAGGATCGGAGACTTAAACTCTGGTCAGTTGGTTGTGCGGGTTACCGACCTCTACGACGTCGCCGCTATCAACTGTGATCGGTAACATTAAAAGTTAAGTGGTTTTGGTGGTGCTTGGGGTGGTTGCAATTGTTGTGGGAGTGGTGTAAGGGTTTCTCGTGTGGCCGACTCCAGGGAAGGAGTTTCAATAATTAAAACCTACTTCCAACTTTTCAGTACGTGGAATTTCCATCTTGACACTTTCCCGATTATTTTAACCAATAGGAATTGTTCTTGGTCTATAGGCATTCCTTGCAGTCTTTTTTGTACTTTCCACAACCTTTTTTGTGGTTTAACAGTTAAACTCTGGCAACTTTCGGGCCTAACTAAATGCGTACAAACAAATCCAACTTGCGCGACTTTCATTTGACAACAAATTGACATGGGAATCCTTAGACCTGCCTCCTTTAAAAGTCCCCGTCTTGTCATTTGTTTTTGCACCGTTGATAAAAAGCGGTTGTCCTTTTGATGGCCTCGTAAATTCCGGATATTACATTGTGTGGACCATCACGATCCGCATGCTAGTCGATCCCGTTGCACTTTGCCTGATTACGACATCGGTTTTCTGCCTGAGAGGCCGTCTAGATCACTGTGCACTCCTGCCGGATTTTTATTAGACTTTATAAGTTATGTTTTGGCGCTAGTGGGACCAGGGTTGTTACTAGTCAAGGATTTGTCCATTACTTTCACTACAGAAAGTAAGTAAGCAAGCCACTTAAACTCGTGACTTTTCGGTCAGGAGACGCCTACCGGATATGCGGTGAGGAATGAT